GTATGTTGACCAGACCACACACTAGAAATTGAAGGGACGACGACTTGAGAATGGTCCAGGACGGACCGAAACGTCGTCGTCCCTTCAATTTCTAGTGTGTGGTCTGGTCAACAAGTTATATAATAGTAAAATTCCTCGGTGTTCCCACTGATAACAAGTTGAATTTCCAGTGTGATGTGACCAATATAGCACAACCAAGATAAACCATTTGGCATTGTTTCTAATATACCTCGCCCTGCCCTGGTAACACTTTATTACTACCTCATCTATCCTTATCTCACCTGTGGTATCTATGCCTCGGGTTCTGTTACCCTGTTAGGGAGCCGGTGGCTGAGCGGACTGAACACTGGACGCGTGATCCTGTGGTCTCGGGTTCGATCCCGGGCGCCGGCGAGAAACAATGGGCAGAGTTTCTTTCACCGTGATGCTCCGGTTACCTAGCAGTAAATAGGTACCTGGGAGTTAGTCAGCTGTCACGGGCTGCTTCCTAGGGGTGGAGGCCTGGTCGAGGACCGGGCCGCGGGGACACTAAAGCCCCGAAATCATCTCAAGATAACCCTGACATAGATACCATAGATGATTGATTGATGAAAATTAAGCCACCCAAGAGGTGGCACGGGCATGAATAGCCCGTAAGTGGTGGCCCTTTCGAGCCATTACCAGTATCAAAAGATGATACTGGAGATCTGTGGAGGCGCAACTGCACCCTGCGTGACGGGAGATGTCTCCCGGACCAAGTGGTGACCAAATGGTCACGATACCATAGGAACAATGATGAGTAATTAATAACACATCACTGTTCAGTAATTCGAACATTACCAAACTCAAGCCGCCGACAGCACTCTGCTCCTTAACTTAAATCTTTGAATGTTAAATATTAAGTCACTACACATCCTCTCAAGTGTACTCTCTATATAGAAAATTATGAATTGTAATGCTAACCCCGACCTTGAGCGGCTGTAACACAACCCATTGTCACTACACTAGACAACAAACATCTTTATGATATCCCATGAGTGTGACTTCACCAAAGCAGAATGTTCAGCAAATCAAGGGACTCAAAATGTGGAACGGACCTCCCTGATCACATTAAAAACTGTCCTTTTCCCAACCAATTTAAAAGAGAAACTAAGAACTACCTAATTAATTCTTATGTAAGCTACCTTACTGCCTGAATGACAACCCATGTTTGACTTTTATTGAACATTAATTTCTGAACTTTTACTGATATCTGGCATGTGAAAATTTAATGACAGTTTTTATACCATTTGTTTATTCTGTGAAAATTACAAATTGTTGATCTTTTGCCATTTTTGTAGCTCCAGTCATCAGATAATTATTGTCATTTTATTTATATGTCTCTACTTTAATTTATAAATGTTTTTGATATTTAGTTTTAAGTTAGCCCAGTGAGCGTCTATGTTATATAGCATTTGTTCCATATTATAGCCGTAACTCTCAGTGTGTTATGGCATTAGGCACTGTCCTTGTATTTGGTGCAAAATTTCCAGTTTCCAAATATCATGTAATAATTGTCAATCATTTCCTAATTCTATTTTCTCTCCGTAAACTCATAAATGTTATATTGTTTCATGTAGTTTTAAGAAATGACACCATTACGCTTGTCTATCATTTTCTTAATTTTTATATTATACCCGAAACGCCCAGCGCCTTATTAATAATAATAATAATAATAATAATAATAATAATAATAATAATAATAATATAACAACGCTAACCAGCATGTACTGTAGACTGGTGACATCGCCGGTGAGTCACAATAACGTGGCTGAAGAATGTTGACCAGACCACACACTAGAAGGTGAAGGGACGACGACGTTTCGGTCCGTCCTGGACCATTCACAATCGACTTGAGAATGGTCCAGGACGGACCGAAACGTGGTCGTCCCTTCACCTTCTAGTGTGTGGTCTGGTCAACACTGGTGGCGTCCCTTGGCCACGTGTCGTATGGAAACATTGTCGGTGAGGGAACGCTGGAGAGGACAGGCAACTGACGCGTCTTTGGGAGGTCAAGTTTGGGAGTCAACTGTCGGGGTCTCCTTATTAAGTGTGGCGCGTGAGGCAGTATAGTGTGGCGTGGTGTCGGGGCACACTTGTCGCCACACAACCCTGACTGCACTCTACACACCACTCGTTAAGCTATGTCAAGCTCTCAATGGTCCGCTGTGGATATACAGTAAGCCTGCAGGAACAAGCCAGGCCATTATACATATACATACGGTATATATATATGCGCCTGTTGCTGCTATTGTGTGTGTGTTTATGTAAACAATGATAGACAAAATATGTCATAAATAAATAACAAATGTAATCAATTAGGAAATACTGACATACAGGTTTTGACGAGTCGGTATTTAGCTTCGGGAACACGACCGCCCATTGTTTGGATGACTGGTTGTTAGCGTGACAGCCTTACGCTCGTCCTCCCGGCCTCCAATTACCGCAGTTCTCTTGTATTTCGATCTGTAGTTTCGAAATATTACAGAGGTCAAATATTCGACCTCGATACGCAGAAGAAAATTACCACTAAAGACACCTTGCAAGCAGAACTTATTACAGAAGAAGGAAAGATTTGAGGTAGCTACAGAAGCACCATACTGTCCCACGAGCTCAAAGCAGCAGCTAAGAGCCTTCGTGAGAATAAGGAGATAGTCGTCAGGAGAGGTGACAAGTCGCCAATATTATAAAAAATTATAATTATATTAATTATAATTATAATATTATATTAATTATAAACTATTATAAAAAAACAGAGACGAATATCTGGCAAAAATGAATCTCATCCTCTCCAACCAAACTAAATTCCCAAAAGTCACGAGGGATACCACAGCCGAATTGAAAACGAAGGTAAACAGATTGAAACTGTGAACGCCAAGAAATCTGGACTCCACCTGTCTAAGGTTACCGGGGAATATAAACCAGGTTATGCACATGGGAATGTCAAGACCCACAAACCCGGAAACCCACTTCGGCCAATCATCAGCCAGATACCCTGGGCTGGATACCAACACCCACATACAGACAAGCTAAGTGACTCAACTGCCTACTGACTCCTTATGTATCTTGTGCTTTCAGCCTGAAGTCTCCAAAGGAATTTGTTGACTTATTGTGGGTAGCGCGGGCCACGGGAATGAGAGCCTCTCTGGATGTAGAGTCGCTGTTTACCAGCGTGTCTGTGGATAAGACAATCAGGATGATGATGGACAAAGTGTACCGTGATCCGGCTTGTACCCCTCTAGACATACCAGAGAGCATACTGAGGAAATTACTGGAAGCTTGCACTAAAGAGGCACCCTTCCTGAGCCCTGATGAGCACATGTATAAACAAGTGGATGGGGTCGCCATGGCTTCTTCCCTAGATGTCCTGTTCGCGAATTTTTACATGGGAACCTTATAGCGGAAGGTCCTTGTTGACATGGACTTTAAACCTGCCAAATACTGCAGGTATGTTGACGACATATTTATGCAGATACCTGATGTCGGGCGTTTGCAGCAGTTGAAGGAGGCATTTGAGCAGAGTTCGGTGTTAAGTTTCACTTACGAGATGGAGAGTGATCGGAAGCTGCCCTTTCTAGATGTAACAGTTCTGGAAAGGAACGGAGGTTTCCATACTGCAGTCTACACTAAGAAAACTAACATAGGAATGTGCCTGAATGCTAATAGTGACTGCCCGGACAGGTACAAGCAGAGTGTTGTCAACGTTTAGGTTGACTGAGCTCTCACGCACATCTCTGGTTGGAAGCAGGTCGACGAGGAACTCTATAGAGAAAGAGTTGAAGAAGAAGAAGCACGTCCGACCTCTGAAGAAGCAACCAGCACAACACATGTACCTCCTATCAGACTGTTTTACAGGAACTTCTTTACCACGGCTTACAAAATGGAGGAAAGAGTCCTGAAATATATATATATATATATATATATATATATATATATATATATATATATATATATATATATATATATGCAAACAAGCCTGAATGGTCCCCAGGACTATATACAACTGAAATATATACAACTATATACAACTATATACAACTCACTTCTGGGGTGTGAGTTTTCAGTTATATATATATATATATATATATATATATATATATATATATATATATATATATATATATATATATATATATATATATATATATATATATATATATATATATACGGAAAACGTCCTTCGATTTCAAACCATCAAAGTCGCAGGGAAATGAGAGCCGACATATCTTTAAGAGAGGTAATGAGGCCGACCCCGACCAGCCTATGATACCACACACCACCCATGTATCTACCTGAAAAGTTTGGTGAGGCGAGCCCCACGCTCTGGCCTCCAACCTCGGCCAGACAGACGGGCCAACACGTGTGTTAGAGGATACTACACACTCTTGTGTTTCACATGACTGTAGTGGTAAGAAGAGAGTGTATAGTCTTGAGGTGAGTGTAGCTGATGAGTGCACGTCAGACTGGGCCGCTCTTCCAGGTACCTGGGCCCAGATTCACGAAGCAGTTACGCAAGTACTTACGAACCTGTACATTTTTCCTCAATCTTTGATGGTTTTGGTTACATTTATTAAACAGTTTACAAGCATGAAAACGTCCCAATCAACGGTTGTTATTGTTATAAACAGCCTCCTGGTGCTTGGGAGCTCATTAACTGTTTAATAATTGTAAACAAAGCCGCCAAAGATTGAGAAAAGATGTGACACGCCTTGAGATTTCACTACGGGCTCACCATAGCCCGTGCTACTTGGAACCTCGTTCCAGGTAGCGAATCTTTAACAACAACAACAACAACAGAAAAGATGTACAAGTTCGGTAAATGCTTGCGTAACTGCTTTGTGAATCTGACCCAAGATACACAATATTCCTGATTCCCCCCCCCCCTGACCTTAAATATGCAATCACACCTTTATACCTCCCACAATTAATATTACATTTAGTAGTCCATATGTGTGACCTTGACTGGTGTGTGTGTCGCGCAGGTGAGCGAAGTGCCAGCAGTGGAGAGAGTGAGGGCGGCGGACCCGACCCGCCCAAACACGGGGCTCCCAATGGCCGCGTATGTGGCACCCCGAAGGAGGAGGACTCCTCGGACACCGACATGGAGATCAAGAGTCTTGACCTGACCGGTGAGTCCCCCTAGGCTCACGCTCAACTCTCTCAGCAGTTCGGAGTGAGTCTTTAACCTCTTATTCAGCTCAGTCTTGCCAGGCTATTTGGAGTGCAAGTTGTCATAGTTTAGGGCAGACGAGGTCAAAATCTGGCCCTAAATTGGTTAGAATTTTTAATAGCATCCAAATCTCTTGGATGAGACATAATTCTTTTCCTCGATTGTTTACGGGTTAAAAGAAAACGAGGTGAATCTCTCAGGGGTAGATTAATTTATTGGTTAATTATTTGGCTGTAATTTATTGATTGAATGAGTGTAGTATGTTTTGTAAACACCATTAACACTGGCCATGATGGCTCACCACAATCACACAATTGTCCCAAGAGGATCCTTCAGATTGTCCCTGGAAGCTCCAAGCATGAGTGTTACTTTTTACAAGTATTTTCTGTTTTATCAGAAGAGGTGACTGGTATGTGGGTTGATGTGGAGCATGGCAGTAGGTGGTGTGGAGCATAACCAGGTGTGTGGAGCATAACCAGGTGTGTGGAGCATAGCCAGGTGTGTGGAGCATAGCCAGGTGTGTGGAGCATAACCAGGTGTGTGGTGTTACAGCACGCGTGAGCCTACGGGAGCGTGAGGGCCCAGAGAGAGTGCGGCCCATGTCGTGGGAAGGGGAGCTCTCCGACCCCATCCTCACCAAGCAACCTCCACCACCTCCACCTCAGGTAAGTCCCCCTCCAGGCAACCTCCACCTCCGGTAAGTCCCTCCTCCACCTCAGGTAAGTCCCCCTCTACTTCGGGTAAGTCCACCTCCAGGCAGCCTCCACCTCAGGTAAGTCCCCCTCCACCTCTTGTAAGTCCAGCTGCAGGTGGGAATGGCCCTCACAAGTAGACTGTAGGAGGCCTCTCTCGTCTGGCCATTATGGTTCTAGATGACTACTGTCCGACAACTGAAGGTTATCACAGCATCATCAGGGGTCACCAAGACGGTCAGGGACGCGGCTGAGTTCTGGCGGGAAGACCCCACAGAAGTCTGGCAACCATTCCATAAAAACATTCTCACAGATAGGGCCTATATAACGGTCTATTCCTCCCGTGGAGACCACAGACAGTCTAAGGGGGTTTAGCGCCATTGTTCGTGATTTTATGACACGAATATTCCGGGATCGTGACTGTAGCCGCCTCATTACCGGAACGGGACGTCACTGGCAGTAAAGACAAGTGACGTTCACTGTACCATATATAGAGTACCAAGTCGGGATACACAACCACGTCGACTAGTGGGGTACCTCGTACGATCCCCGGATGGTGCAAGTGGTTGGGCTCTTCCCCTGCATCCTGTTCCAGCTGCTCGACCTCATAGTCCCTTCCTAGTGCCGTACAGTCATATGCGTTGAGGCCTTTCTCCTCATATTTACCGTTTACTGTAGCCATTAAATCATTGCTATAGTTTCTACGTTTATTATTGGTAAGGTTTGTGACACTGGCGATCCTCACCGTTGGCTAGGTCATACAGCCTGAGAAGGGACAGGGGCTAGGAAGAAACAGGGACGAGGAAGGGATAGGGGCTAGGAAGAAACAGGGACGAGGAAGGGACAGGCGCTAGGAAGAAACAGGGACGAGGAAGGGACAGGGGCTAGGAAGAAACAGGGACGAGGAAGGGACAGAGGCTAGGAAGAAACAGGGACGAGGAAGGGACAGGGGCTAGGAAGAAACAGGGACGAGGAAGGGACAGGGGCTAGGAAGAAACAGGGACGAGGAAGGGACAGGGGCTAGGAAGAAACAGGGACGAGGAAGGGACAGGGGCTAGGAAGAAACAGGGACGAGGAAGGGACAGAGGCTAGGAAGAAACAGGGACGAGGAAGGGACAGAGGCTAGGAAGAAACAGGGACGAGGAAGGGACAGGGGCTAGGAAGAAACAGGGACGAGGAAGGGACAGGGGCTAGGAAGAAACAGGGACGAGGAAGGGACAGGGGCTAGGAAGAAACAGGGACGAGGAAGGGACAGAGGCTAGGAAGAAACAGGGACGAGGAAGGGACAGGGGCTAGGAAGAAACAGGGACGAGGAAGGGACAGGGGCTAGGAAGAAACAGGGACGAGGAAGGGACAGGGGCTAGGAAGAAACAGGGACGAGGAAGGGACAGGGGGCTAGGTTAGGTACAGGACGCTTGAGACCGTCCAGGGACACACCTCGACAAGTGACGAAGGTGAGGTCAGAAGCGGACGGGTTAGATCACTGTCACAAGACTGGGATTTGAGCAAGTATGCTATTATCATAAGTCCTTGACTTAACCTGGTCTCTTAACCGGATGGGTGGGGCTAGGGGGGTAGGGTAGAGGACTGAGAGGGGCCAGGAGGTGGGGTGGTAGATAGCTGGGTGCGGCAAGGGGGGGGGACGGTAGATTGTTGGGTTGGGCTACAGGTAGGGTGGTGGTAGATTATTGAGTGGGGCTAGGGGTGGTGGTAGATTATTGAGTGGGGCTAGGGGTGGTGGTAGATTATTGAGTGGGGCTAGGGGTGGTGGTAGATTATTGAGTGGGGCTAGGGGTGGTGGTAGATTATTGAGTGGGGCTAGGGGTGGTGGTAGATTGTTCGGTGGAGGAAGGGCGAGTGGTAGATGCTTGCGTGGGATACGGGGGTGGTAGATAGTTTGGTAGGGCAAGGAGGGAGGGGGTAGTAGACTGCTAAGTAGGCCTGAGAGTGCTAGTACACGCCTTAATATTACAGAATATATAAAAACCTTTACACGTAGTGCAAGATGGGAGTAAGATTGCCGAGAGTGAGGACTCAGCGAGCCCATGTTGTGGCTGCGAGGGTTGAGCTGTGGCTCTTTGGTCCCGCCTCTCGATTGTCAATCAACGTATCTATTGTACCATAAGACATCTCTCTCGCCGACCATGTTGTACCAATGCGTTGTTGTGGACGTATTTAATACTGTTTATTTCACCTCCTTGTGATCTTTCCCTGTCATTCATATTGCGTTCTTAGTCTTGCTATATCTAGAGAATTGATGATACTAGTTTTCCCACTAGTTTCTAAGCCGTCAACCTTCTTGCTCAATTATTGATCGACATAATGATGTGAAGAGTCTATCAACACACAAGGTACTTTCATGGTACCTTCACGGTACCTTCACGGTCCCTTCACGGTACCTTCACGGTCCCTTCACGGTCCCTTCACGGACCCTTCACGGCCCCTTCACGGTACCTTCACAGTCCCTTCACGGTCCCTTTACGGTCCCTTCACGGTACCTTCACGGTCCCTTCACGGTCCCTTTACGGTACCTTCACGGACCCTTCACGGTACCTTCACGGTCCCTTCACGGTACCTTCACGGTCCCTTCACGGTCCCTTTACGGTCCCTTTACGGTCCCTTCACGGTACCTTCAGACAGGTAATATGAGGTGCTGCAGGTGCTCTTTGGCTCACTACCTCCTGCCTGTCACAGTGCTGCCTCTCTACAGCCTCTGGGGTCGGGTCCTGGATAGCCGTAGGTGGTAGGATAATCCTAGTTAGTTTATCGGGTTCCGGATTAGTTGACCGAATCCTTGATAGCATTAGCTAGTCGAGTCCATGTAATCCCTGGCTGGTTGATCAGGTCTTGGATAAGGTATCTTAAGAATCCTCACTGGCACGTAAGGTCCTGTAGAGCTCTGGCTGGATGGTGGGGTCCTGTAGAGCTCTGGCTGGATGGTGGGGTCCTGTAGAGCTCTGGCTGGATGGTGGGGTCTTGTAGAGCTCTGGCTGGATGGTGGGGTCCTGTAGAGCTCTGGCTGGATGGTGGGGTCCTGTAGAGCTCTGGCTGGATCGTGGGGTCCTGTAGAGCTCTGGCTGGATGGTGGGGTCCTGTAGAGCTCTGGCTGGATGGTCGGGTCCTGTAGAGCTCTGGCTGGATGGTGGGGTCCTGTAGAGCTGTGGCTGGATGGTGGGGTCCTGTAGAGCTCTGGCTGGATGGTGGGGTCCTGTAGAGCTCTGGCTGGATGGTGGGGTCCTGTAGAGCTGTGGCTGGATGGTGGGGTCCTGTAGAGCTCTGGCTGGATGGTCGGGTCCTGTAGAGCTCTGGCTGGATGGTCGGGTCCTGTAGAGCTCTGGCTGGATGGTCGGGTCCTGTAGAGCTCTGGCTGGATGGTGGGGTCCTGTAGAGCTCTGGCTGGATGGTGGGGTCCTGTAGAGCTCTGGCTGGATGGTGGGGTCCTGTAGAGCTCTGGCTGGATGGTCGGGTCCTGTAGAGCTCTGGCTGGATGGTCGGGTCCTGTAGAGCTCTGGCTGGATGGTCGGGTCCTGTAGAGCTCTGGCTGGATGGTCGGGTCCTGTAGAGCTCTGGCTGGATGGTGGGGTCCTGTAGAGCTCTGGCTGGATGGTCGGGTCCTGTAGAGCTCTGGCTGGATGGTCGGGTTTTGTAGAGCTCTGGCTGGATGGTGGGGTCCTGTAGAGCTCTGGCTGGATGGTGGGGTCCTGTAGAGCTCTGGCTGGATGGTCGGGTCCTGTAGAGCTCTGGCTGGATGGTCGGGTCCTGTAGAGCTCTGGCTGGATGGTCGGGTCTTGTAGAGCTCTGGCTGGATGGTGGGGTCCTGTAGAGCTCTGGCTGGATGGTGGGGTCTTGTAGAGCTCTGGCTGGATGGTGGGGTCCTGTAGAGCTCTGGCTGGATGGTGGGGTCCTGTAGAGCTCTGGCTGGATGGTGGGGTCCTGTAGAGCTCTGGCTGGATGGTCGGGTCCTGGACAAGCCAAGAAGGAGTGGCACCTATTCCAGTTTTTTTTTCTGGCAGTGACGTCACGCGGCCTGACAGAGTGTGACAAGTTTGGTCGTTACAGAGATTATAGAGTCATTGTGACGTCACGAGGGAGGGGCCCGTGTGGGAGGTCACACTGGATGGCTCTGTCTCTCTCTCTCTCTCTCTCTCTCTCTCTCTCTCTCTCTCTCTCTCTCTCTCTCTCTCTCTCTCTCTCTCTCTCTCTCTCTCTCTCTCTCTCTCTCACTCACTCACTCACTCACTCACTCACTCACTCACTCACTCACTCACACACACACACACACACACACACACACACACACACACACACACACGCATTAGTTTTGTTGATGGTCGATAATAATTAAGAGTAAGCTGGCTGTTGATAGTTGGATGGTTATGTGTAGTTCTTCGGCTATGTCTAATCTTCTGTTGTTGCATTTGTCGATTATTTCGGTGTTGGTGATCAGAGTGTGTCTATAGTGATGGTCTGGTTGTGTGTAGTAATAATGTTATCTTCGATAATCTTCTATGTGCATTGTCAAGCGCCCTGACAACCGTTGGGACTAACAGTTCCCAAAGGGGGGGGGGGGCCATATAAAGACATAGACGACATTCGTATGTCTCAAGTCGTTCCGTTTGGCGCCTGGAGATTTCCCGGGTCACTGAAGGAAAGCGACGCCTGAGGAAGGAAACCTCTCCACGTGTTATGAAACACGCTACATTCTGTGGAAAGGCAACTTACCCGAGACTGCCACGTGGCTTTGTTTGTAAACAGTCATCATAGCAACCGACTCTTTTTTTTTTCGTAAGAGGTTCATTCAGAAGAAGCAAGATGACAGGAAATGAAGGCATCTGGCGGGCAAGGTCTTTGTTTTGAGAAGAAACACATACGAGTGCAAACATGAATGCTTTCACGCCTACGCACGCCCACGCATGCACGGACGCGCACACATAATGGAAACGATAAGAGTAAGAAGTGACATGATCACAACG